CCGATACCGACTCCTTTCACCCCTGTTTCCGACGCTGCTGCTGTCGAGGAGTTTGAAAACCTCCTATCGACTTTGCAACCTAGTGTTGCGGCCCTCCTTCGCGAGTATCCCGATATTTTCCCTTCATCTGTTTCTTATAGCAGCATCCCTCTTATGCACGATATCAAGCACCACATCCGGCTCGAACCTAACTACCGTATTCAGCATCAAGCCCCATATCGCCTCTTAGTCCCTCAACCCCAAAACCTTAAATGACAAATTGATGAGTTGCCTCGTCAGGGCTTCATTAAACCGAGTACGTCCCTATGGAGTGCACCTGTCCTCTTCGATCGAAAGAAGGACGGCACCCTCCGCCTCTGCCTCGACTATCGCGGTCTCAACAACTACACAGCCAGAAATAGTTATCCTATGCCCCGCGCGGATGATCTGTTCGACCGCCTCGCCGGCCAGCACTTTTTCACAAAGATCGATCTTCATAGCGGATATCACCAGATCCACGTAGTCGAGGAGGACCAACCTAAGACCGCTTTCCATTCTCGTTTTGGGCACTATGAGTTTACCGTCATGCCTTTCGGTCTCTGTAATGCTCCCGCCACCTTCTAGATGGCTATGAACACGATATTCCAAGACTTTCTTGAAAACTCGGTTCTAGTTTATATTGACGACATCTTGGTCTACAGTCGTACCTTAGAGGAGCATTTGATCAACTTTCGCACTGTCCTCCAACGATTACGTGACAATGAGTTCTACGCGAAGCTCTCCAAATGCCGCTTCGCTCAACCCAAAGTCGACTTCTTGGGGCATCAGGTCTCCGAGCACGGACTCCATATGGACGATTCGAAGATTCAGATCATTGTCGACTGCCCGCGCCTACCTCTCTTCCTGCGCTACGTAGTTTCCTTGGGTTCACCAACTATTATGGTCATTTTCTTTACAACTACGTGCAGTATATTGCCCATCTTACCCCTCTGATCCGCGGACGTCTACCCTTTCATTGGACCCCGACTCATGAGGATGCCTTTCACTCTCTCAAGCGACTTGTCACGTCAGCCCCCGTTCTACGCCTCCCTGACTACTCTCGTCCATTCATTGTCACCACGGACGCTTCGGATTTTGCTATTGGAACTGTCCTATCTCAAATCTACTCAGCCTCTTCTACTTCACCCGATTCCACGAAGTCTCGACTCCCTCGCATTCCCCGATTCCCTCCTCCATCTCCAGCGACGACGGCTCACCTCGCACCCATTGAGCCTACCCCTTCAGGAGCCCCCCCTCCATATATTCCTAACGTTGCCGACGACGATAAAGTCGAGTCTCGTGATGGAGAGTGTCCGGTTGCTTATCTCTCTCGACAGCTACTTCCCGCAGAACGTAACTATACCGCCGACGAGTGTGAGGTTCTCGCGCTGGTTTACGCTATTAAGACGTGATGTCATCATCTACACGGTCATACCTTCACCGTGCTTACGGACAACTCTGTCCTCGCTGCCTTTCAAACGAAGCCTAAACTCACTTCTCGACAGGCTCGTGGTCGCGTGATCTTTCCGAGTTCGACTTCACCATCAGGAAGATTTTCGACGAGAGCAACCGTGTCGCAGATACATTATCTCGTTAACCTGATCTTAAGTGCGATGATCAGCAACTCTCTGCTCTTTTTGTCTATACTACCATTATTCATCCTGCTTTCCTTGATAAGTATCGTCGTGCTTACCCCCAGTGTTATGAGTTTCAATCCAACTACACTGATTTACAGACTTGCAAAACCGTCTCTAACTTCCAGCTTGACCCCTCTGGACTCTTGTACTGGCTTGGACTCAATCATCCTCGTACTCCTCGTTTATGTGTGTCTTCTACCCGCCATCTCCATGTTCAGGTAGTCGCTAAGAGTCATGATCAGCGCGCTGCCGGTCATTTCGGTGTCTACAAGACTCTTGACCGCCTCTACCGCCATTACTGTTGGAGGCATCGTCGCACCTTCGTTAAGGAGTATGTTCGCACGTGCAAGATCTGCCAAGAGGCTAATATTATCAATCATCCCCCCTACGGTATTCTTCAGCCCTTACCCATTCCTATTCAGCGTTGGACTTTTGTCTCTATGGACTTTATCGGTCCTCTTCGTCCCCCTACCCCACGAGGTCACGACGCCATCTTCGTTATTGTTTGTCGGTTGACTAAGCATGCTCACTTCCTCCCTTGCAAGTATGCTAGCTCAGCTAAAGACATCGCCTCACTCTATTTTAACCGCATCGTCATTCATCTCGGTCTTCCTACTAGTATTGTCTCTGACCGTGATCCCCGCTTCACTTCCCACTTCTGGCGTGGACTCCACGAGATCTACGACTCTGAGTTTCGCTTCTTTTCTTCTTTCCATCCCCAGTCAGACGGATAGACCGAGGTCACAAAAAAAACTCTTGGGAATATTCTCAAGAAGCTTGTTGAGAATGACTCTGATTGATACCTTCATCTCGTCCATGCCGAGATTGCTTATAACCATGCTATTTCACCAGCCACCGACATGTCTCCTTACCACTGTGACTTGGGATATCACCCTCGTGTCCCATCTGATCTCCTTCGTCCATCTCAAATCCATCTTGACACTAAATGCCCCGCCCTTGATGATTGGGTTAAGGAGATGGATGAGATTCTCAGCAACGCTCGCAAGAGCATTGTCGACTCCCAGACACGCATGACTATTAGCGCCAACCGTTCTCGCATCGACCACCCCTTCAAAGTTGGTGACGAAGTCCTTGTCGATGCACGTCACTTCCAGCCCGAGGTCGACACACTTCGGAAATTCAAACATCGATATATTGGTCCATGCACTATTCTTTTATCTGTCGGACATAATCATGACTGTCCGATGAACTTCAAATTGAAGCTCCCCGATGCCATGTATCACGCTAACCTACATGATGTGTTCCATGTATCTCTATTGCACCCTTTCAGACGATCTTCCCCTGAGTTCCACAGTCGACCTTACCCTCGCCCCTCTCCCATCGTCATTGAGGGTCACCATCAATGACGTATGACTGATGGTGACCCTCCCCGCCTCAAGTATCTCGTCCCGACGTATGACTGATGGTGACCCTCCCCGCCTCAAGTATCTCGTTGGATGGAAGGGTTATCCTAACGAGGAGTCTACTTGGGAGTCTCTCGAGCACCTAAAGCATGCTATGACTTTCGCGCGTGTCTTACGATCGCACTCATCCTTTCCCTTCATCATCCTCCCCTCTTATTTATCGTCCTTCTATTGACCCATCTACTTCAGGGACCACTAGCATTCCCCCCCCTTAATTGATCGGGGCCTCCAGCTCCACCGACACCTGGCTCAGGTCCCCCTTCCCTCGTGGATGTGGTTCCGTCCAACCGCATGATGACCCCTGTTTTCCCTAACCATGTGGGTGTATTCGTCTGCCGCCTTTCTGCCTTACTCTATGCTGCGCGCCCTCTTCCGGAGTGTACATTTTTTTTTTGCTCGCAGCCCTTGGCCACATGTCTATGTCGGCATAGCCCCCCCTATCCTTCCAGGCTCGCTCGTATGCTCCCTTGTGCAAGTGCCCTTTTCCCTTTCAGCTGGCGGTGCCTGCTTCATGGTTTCCATTGAGCCCGTGCTGTTATTCTCGCTCTGAGCCTGATGATGTTTCATATGGTTGTGTGGGTACCCCCTTGGAGTTTACTCTGAGAGTTGTACTTGCCGCTTCCCACCCTTCCCTACCTTTCTCATGCAACTGAGCTCCTCTTCTATTTGGATATTGTGTACTTGTATAGGGCACGTAAGACTGTGCCACATTCTTTTTCGGTGTGGATATTGATGTTGTTACTTTTAGCCTTTAGGGCTCAGGTGTTGACTTATGCTCAACCACATTGGCTTAGGAGACATTTTTCTCTTTCTTGGCCGACACAGATTAAACATTTCTCTCTTTGTTGGCCGACACAGGTCATACATTTTTCTGTTTTTTGGGTCGACTCAGACCTGTATTGATTAGGCTTGAGGCTTAGTTTGCATTGTATCTCTTTTCTGCACAGAGCTTGCTCTGCATTTAGGATTGTTTCTTTGCCTTTCCTCTTGGTTTCCGCTATTTCATCGGATAGCGTGATGTATTATTACTTTATCCATTTACAGGTCCGAGGATCATGTAGCGGTACCCTCCGGCCCGGCAGTGAGGCCGGACCTGTTTCAGGCCGTCGGCCTGACCCCGGTCCGGTACGGGTTACTCTGGCCTGGGCCAAGGCCAGTATATCTCTCCGGCCTGGGCCCAGGCCGGGGTCACTCATTCATTGAGTCGGTGTGTGTCCATCTCTCTCTCTCTCTCTCTCTCTCTCTCTTTCTCTCTCTCCCTACACGTGGCCTCTGCACGGGCGTCACATAGGGCATAGCAAACGAGGTAAATCCTTTCGCAGGGGCCATGCTAATCTTCTCTGTATCGGGTGTAAATCCCTGCGTTTGGGCCATGCTAATCTTCTCTGTATCGGGTGTAAATCCTTGCGTAGGGGCCATGCTAATCTTCTCTGTATCGGATGTCCCGAAAGACGCCGTCCGCAATATCGCCAAGGACTGTCCCCCGAAATTTTTCGCCCCCTAAAAACCCGCTTGTGTCCTGGTCGCCCGCTGCTGAGAATGCGACACCTTCACACAGACGCTGAAGCCCAAGAAATGTATCTTCCCGTTTGTCAAAAGAGGTCTGGATGGAGTGGTGGACCAGGAGCAGCACCGAAGGAAGACGTGCTGAGAGGAGCGACGTGGGGCACGCTCTGAAGGGGACCGTCTGTTGGAAGAGTCCATGCCACGTGGCGGTGGATCAAGTTCGCTCTTCAATGCTGGCGATCGGCCGTGATTGTCGGTTTAAGGTAGCAGCGCGTCATCGTGGTTGTGCTCGCTTGTTTGTCATTCGCATGAACATCTGAGGATCAGCTACTTTTGACGACTCGGCACAGGCTTCAATTTAAAACCCCCCGGAATGCCTCCGTTTCTGCCGTTATGCCAGGTGGTTTTCGGGCGGGTTAGGACGGGGAGGAGTTGCGAGCAATAAAAGGCTTGCTGGGGTTCCGTTTTTTGGTTTGAGGTTCGAAGGGTCTTCTGAGTCCCGAGGTTTGGGGCTTCTCGATTGGTCGGCATCTTGTCATCGCTCAGTTGATTCTTAGTATCGATTTCTTGGCGCCATTATCTTGCGGACCTTTGTTTGCCCACGTGCGGAAGGAGGAAGGCAGTCGCACGTACAGACACACACACACACACACACACACACACACACACACACACACACAGACACACACACACAGAGAGAGAGAGAGAGAGAGAGAGAGAGAGAGAGNACACACACACACACACACACACACACACACACAGACACACACACACAGAGAGAGAGAGAGAGAGAGAGAGAGAGAGAGAGAGAGAGAGAGAGAGATCTTCGGCCAGCGGTAGTCATCATGGTTCTTGCATTAGCAATCCGAGGACTGATGTAAGTATTCCTTGAACAATCCGTTTTCATTTCTCGCCTCCCTGCAACGCTTCTTTCGAAACGTGCCCTCTCGAGTTCCATCATGTGAACTGGCTTTTAAGAGTTTCAATCTCTGTGGAGGAATACTTGAGGAGGAGCTGTTCTCAAATAAAACGTGATCCATGGAGATGGCTGAAGGGAATACCTGCACTGGGCGCTCCGTCGCTCTTTCTTCCTGTTTTGTTTCTCTTGTTCTCGGCTGTTCTATTTTGTTCGGCCAACTCTCCCGCTGACCATCCTCACGACGTTCTCTTCGCGTACCCTTCGTCTATGTTTTTCTTCACTGTCTGTCGTTCCCACTTGTTTACCTCGGTGATCGGTTGCTTAGCTGCCTACCTGGTTTGCTGGTCGATCGCTCTCTTCGTTTCCTCTCCTGTCGATCTCCTGTCGATCTGTCCGATCTCTCGATCTCTCCGATCTCCTGTGTCTTCTTTTCTCTTCTCTCGTTTCTGTCCTCTCTTTTCTCTCGTCTTCCGCTCCTCTCTCTTCTTTCTTCTTTCTGTCCTTGCTCGCTTCTATGTTTTCTCCCTTCCCCTGTTCTCTCTCTATCTGTTGACCCGCATGCTTTGTCTGCGTGCCACCGTTGCTTGGCTGGATCTTGCTTCGTGTTGTTGCTTCTCGCTGTGTCGTGTGCCCTTTTCGTCTAACTGGAGTCTAGCCCTTTGTTAGTGTCGGTTTCTCTTTACTTACGTTCCAGTCCATAAGTTGCGCTCGTTATTGCTGAAAAGTAGGGGGGTTGTTGAAGTGTGAAATTGGTATGGGTGGGTTGGGGGCCAAAGGGGTTGGGCGCTGAGTTGCCCTGGAAGGGAAAGAATAGCTCACGATTCATCATCGTTACGCACGGGGGCGTTAACCAGGCAATCTTGCTTGTGTGTGTGTGTGTGTGTGTGTGTGTGTGTGTGTGTGTCTGTGTGTGTGTGAGAGAGAGAGAGAGAGAGAGAGAGAGAGAGAGAGAGAGAGAGAGAGAGAGAGAGAGAGAGAGAGAGAGAGAGAGAGAGAGGCGCAGAGGTGCTGGGATGAAGAGTGTTGAGTGTTCTCCGCTTTAGGCGTTGCACGTGTGCGTAGGCCGGGGTGTCATGGGATGCGCGCTCGGCTGTTCTCTGTCGTCTGGGTACCTTCCGTGCGTGCTGACAGGTTTATGTGATTACGCGGTCCAACGGCCTTGGTCATGTGACTGATTGTTTCCTGCTTCGATTGCGTGCTTTCGCGTACTCCCTCGCCCATCTCCTTACCAATTTTGTGTCCTGCTCTCCAGAATGGTCTGCGGGTATCTCTACCCCGCCTACAATTGCTACAAGACAGTCGAGCGACCAAGGCCGGAGCCGGAGCAGCTGCGATTCTGGTGCACGTACTGGTAACGTTTTGTAGATCGCGACCCAGATCGGCCTGACCCACACTCTCTCCTCGCTCTATTTCTCCCGTCGTAAATTCTCGGGAATCAAGCGGTTTGCCCCTTTGCTCGCATTGTGACTGGTTACAATTCATTGGGGATTCTGGTGTTCTGACAGGATGTTGTGCGACGAGACTCCAGTCGTACCTCATTTACCTCATATGCCTGCTTAGTAGTAGCGCAATGCAGCACGAACATGCACGCATGCGGGATAAGAGAGGTTTAGGGGAAAGGGAGGGGGGAGACAGCATGGATGTGTCTGTATGAGAGGAGACGAAAGAAGGATAGTTACAGGGCGGGGGGAGAAACTGATGGTAAAGCCAGTGTTTGCGTGTGAGAGAGGGAGAGCTTTCCCCCTGTTTTGTTGTATTTGGCTGTTCCCTTCCTCTTTCTTTGAGTCTTTGCCTTTTGGCTGTGTGCAAGTGGGTCGATATGACACACGCGGTGGGGGCGGCCGCCGCCCAACCTACATCCGGGTGGGCGGCCTTGTACGCAAGAGGTTCTGAACGGGGGGAGTTGTAAGGAAGAAGATAAAAAAACGAATTCAAATTTTCGGTGTTTTCTTTCTTTTTCTTTTTTTTTGCTTTTGCGCGCTGATATTCTTGTGACAATATATATATCAGTGTGACAATAGTTGTTGCTTCCATTCCGTGGGCTACGCCCGCTTGGTGAGCTCGCTTGCTCCAATGGCTTTATACAAATGTTTCTAATGCTGACATAACTGCCGCCGTCCGTGAACTTGAATGTCTTATTCGACGATTTCAACATATCCGACAGCCATATACTGCCCATTCCGGGGACACCTTTGAAACTTTATCAGGATTGTGCATATGCACGAGATCCTGAAGGCCACTGAGCTGCGCCATGCGTTGCATTCACAGGATGTGTGTGCGTTACACCCTGACCCTCAGGCAGCCAGCACTATTCGCATCTGTGACAAACCGGTACCCCCAACAAGGGTGCAATTTTGTAATTTTACGGAAGTTGCCTTGAGTGTCACTCGGGGCCTGCGCTTACGTGCTGCTGCTCATTGTCCTTGTCGTAGGGCCTTTCGTAACTGACGGCCATGTTGTTTCCGCCAAGTATGATCTGATTCCGGATGCTAACCTCCATCGCCTGTTGTATGAGGGCTCTAAATATTGGCTGAATGGAATAGTGGGGGATATACTTGAAGCACTGGCTGTTGGTATTGATGAGTATATTGCTGCGTATCTTTGTCCAACAGCACGACAGTCCTGCGCAGCTACCCTAGCTCCGCAACTGGCTCTTTGGCGTGCCGCAGTTTTGCGTCACTGTGAGTGCAATATGCTGTCGCATCACGTTTGTGACAGCCTCGCGCCTTGCGACACGCACATACGGCCCTGCGTCAGCTCCAAGAATCCTTTACGATCGTTCCTGTGGATAAAACATCACATATCTGGCTATTTGTTGTAAAAACTGGTATAGATTTAATCTTTTTACTCATCTCGACAGTCCTACGTATTCTCGGCCCGCGAAAACAGGCCGACATTCTGAATAGCCATGCACTTTGGAACAATCACAGGGATTATCCTCATGCTGACATATTGCCGTATCTTTATTGCGCTCTTAGGGCCCATAAGTCTCCTCCCACACTCCGTACTATTCCTGGTATCACTGCCCACAACAATCTTTCTTCTTCTTCTCATATGGCCCAGCGGAGTGACCTGCGCCCCTCCCAACGAGTCCAGCATTGCATCACGGACCGCCTCACAAGCCTGTGGCTAGTACAACACCTACATCGACTTGTTTGAGTGTGGCACTTCAAGGCACCATCCAAACTCTTCACGGAAAAGATAATCAACTCTTCCAATCCGAAGGTATTGGATGATGTTGGATTGTCCAGAGCAGTGATGAGGTCATGCTTGACCTCAAAAAGAATAAAGCTTCTCTCCGAGGTCTGGCCGCTCATACGGTCGATTTCACTACTATGTATACTAATCTTTCTCATCAATGGATTCTTAACAATGTTGCGAATGCTGTTGATGAGGCACATGCCTATGCTCTTGCACAGACATGACAGCATACAAGGACACACTCATCCTGTGTTGCTCTTCGTATGGTGGCCCGTGGATCGCGAGCCGGGGAATGGACTACGGATACGGGACCTGACACTCTTTCTGTGTCTGACATTCTTCAACATCTTCAGTTTATTGTTACTAATGCATATCTATATACAGTGTATGGCCTTGTTCGTCATCAAGAAGTTGGTATTCCAATGGGTACAAATGCTGGTCCTGAGATTGCTAGCCTCACACTCTATCGGGATGAGGTGCAGTGCGTGGACAACCTGCAGCGTGTGGATCCCTCTGCAGCCCGCCTATATGTTTTCACTTATTGGTTCATTATGTTCTTACCTTTGATTGTCTGTCATCATTGCCAGCCTATTACGGTCTTGAATGGAAAGAGACCACTGCGCCTGATGGCTCGTGCACCTTTTTAGGTGCGAAACTGCAGACATGGGCTGATGGATCTCTCCGATTGAGTGTGTTTGATAAGACTGTTGCATGGGATTTTCCTGTTATACGATATCCCAGTGCAGCGTCGAACATTCCATCTCATCAGCCTGCAGGTGTGTTCACCGGCCAGCTTGAGCAGATTTGTGACAATTGGCATGATTTCAGAACTGTGGCAACCATGCTTGTCCGCCGTTGCTTTACCGTGGCCATGCTCCATCAACATTGGCCCGTGGATGGACTTGTTACATTCGTGCTCACCAGCGTTGACACCCTGTACATGTAACTCGTCTCACAGTGGTCCGTGCATCATCCTTTTCCACCTCCTCCCTCTCCTTCCCTTCTCCTTCTCCCTCCTCCCCCACTCCTCCCCCTTCCTCTTTCCATCTTCTCATCCTCCTTCCCCTCCCCTTCCCCCTCCTTGTCCTCCCCCTCCCCCTCCTCCTCCTGGTCCATCTTCCCCTCCCCTCCCTCCCCCCTCTTCCTCTCCACTTCCCCCTTCTTCTCCCCCTCCTTCCCCTTCCACTTCCCCTCTGCCTTCCTCTCCCTCTCCTTCTCCTCCCTCTTTGCCTGCATCCTCTTCTTCTTTGTCATCTCCTCCTTCTTCGTCTTCCCCACGCATGCTGAGACCGGCCCCTCCCTTATCTTCGTTGTCCATATTGGGACGTCGGCAGGCTCGTTCATTCTCTCCTACTCCCAGTCCCCCTTCCTCTCGACGTCGTGTTGATGCTAATCTGCGGGGTTCTTTGTCTTACCGGCAGCCTGCTCTGCCACGTCGATGCATTCGTCATTTACGCTTTTCCCGCCAGATCAGATCTGGCTTTCCGATGGTGACCGATCCGGATCTGCGGGCAGACCTACCAAATATTTGTGGCTTGACAACCACAAATGTCTGCCTACAGGCTTATCAGCATCAATGTTATGCTGCATCTCAATTTGTCAGGATTGCTTATCAGCTTGACGCTGTTGAAAATCAATTGTTGTATGACCATAGTAGTCCACCTCCTGAAGGTAGTAACTATACTACCTAAGGAGGCTTTACTGTAAATGTCTTACAGTTAGCGTTCCACGGTCGCCACCTTCTTCATGCTACGCCAGGCGATTACCTCAATAACCATCCTCATATTTCTGCCTGTATTTTACACAGACCCGGGCATTATATGGCACTCATTCGTGCAGCTGCCCAGTGGGAACTGYGGGATGGTGGGACGATGAGTCAGGATATTTTCAACGAAATGAATTTTTGCGTGCATTGTCGAATCATACTTTATTCTGGATTATTGACCGACTCTCGTGTGACACCTGTCGGGACAGAGACGCGGTGCCCCTTGGCTGTGGAATGCATCGTCTATGCTATAGCCAATATCAATCTATTACGACTGCCGCCGTCTGTACTGAAGGGTGTCCAACATTTCCTCATTGTACACATCGCTATCACCCAAATATACGTTGTCCCTTTTGTGCCCAAGGACGCTATCAGAACTGCATGATGCCGCACTGTGATGAACGTCCTGGTGTTTTTTTTTTTTACATGTGGACATGGGATGGTTCGTGCTAGCCGTCCTACTGAATGCTGTGCTGGCGCAGCTCTCCTTGGGTATCCTTGTGAACATCCACATCATCCTCACCGTAGCTGTCCTATCTGCCGAGGTGGGGACAGATAAAGCCTTCAACACTGCGGACAGATACGGAGTTAAAGAAAAAAAGAGAAAAAGAAAACAAGAAAAAGGAAAAAATATGTTTATCTGTGGGATGTGTTATTTGCTTTGTGGCAAGTGGATTATCTGTGGGATGTGTCATTTGCTTTGTTTGACTGATAGGCTTTCTTTCGCTGTCAGGTTTGGTTTCCTCCTCCTTTTCTTTACCTCTTTGCCTTTTGGCTGTGTGCAAGTGGGTAGATACAACACACGGGGGTGGGGGCAGCCGCCGCTCAACCTACATCCATGTGGGCGGCCTTGTATGTAAGAGGTTCTGAACAGGTGGAGTTGTAAGGACGAAGATTGAAAAACGAATTCATTTTTTCCTTGTTTTTTTTTTTCTTTTTTTACGTTCTTGCGCTCTGGTATTTTTGTGACAATATATATATCACACTTTGAATTGGAGCGCAAAGTCGGAAAAAGACACTTTGAATTGGAGTGCAAAGGCGGAAAAGACAAAAGAATGTCTTTTTCCGCCTTTGCGCTCCAATTCAAAGTGTGATATATATTGTCACAAAAATACCAGAGCGCAAAAACGTAAAAAAAGAAAAAGAAAACAAGGAAAAACTGAATTCGTTTTTTAATCTTCTTCCTTACAACTCCCCCTGTTCAGAACCTCTTACGTACAAGGCCGCCCACATGGATGTAGGTTGAGTGGCGGCTGCCCCAACCCCCGTGAGTTGTATCGACCCACTTGCACACAGCCAAAAGGCAAAGAGGCAAAGAAAGAGGAAGGGAACAGCCAAATATAACAAAACAGGGGGAAACAAACATAAACAAATCCTAGATGACA